GTTGTTTAAGCCGCTATTCTTTGTGTATCCAGTTGCTTGCAGGAGAAAGCTTCCCTAACTGATTGACCAACCTTCCCCAGTAACTCCAAATAGGAATCAAACAATATTGTAACAGCACAAATGAAATGTGACCAAGCATCACAGAGCCAGCTCCATGCTCTGATCTGCCATGACAAACTCCAGAAGGCACTAAAAGAACACCAAGTCTGGCATCTATACAAAAGAGCATAGAGCATAGGGACCTTTGATTCCACCTGATCCTAGCACCAGATCATCACACTTTTCAAGCGTTGTGGAGAATAGACTAGAAAAATAAAAACAATATAAATCGCAACCCTTGTCTTCAAATGACCTTCATAAGAGTTCCTTGTGAATTATGCAACATGATTCCAACAAAAGGGACAAAAATTTTACCACTCAATTTTCCAGCCTGCCTCTAATGCAAGTACTAAGTAATATGTACATAGGCAGGAAAAGATAATGAAGGAAAATAATTAATACAGAGAATGCAAAAAGTAGCCAATTAGACTAAATGCAAAGACAAAGAAAAACAAAAATCTCCACAAATTAATACGGAGAATGTAGACTAGTCACCTGCTACTGGATTTCACCTAATTCACTGATAGGTTTTTAACCTACTCTGAACTGTAATGCTGATAACAATGAAATAATGCAACAGTTTAAGAAGACATTGTAAACTCAGCTTTGAAAGTGGTGCAAAAAAAGCAAGAATCCAATTACAGTGAACTAAACTGCTGTTATCAGAATAACCTTAATCCTTCAATTCTTTAAGCAAATGCCCCAGGACCTTTGTAAGAGCTATTTATACATTAGCTATTTATTACCTAATTGGCTATTTAATACTTTCTTGGCTTATGAGTTGAAAGCTAGTCATTGGCATTTTAAAGAGTACCTTTCACCTGGACAACCTGAGTGAGCCAGTGTCTTTACCAGATTTAGAATCAAATATATTTGTCTGTATCAGCTTTAATATCAAATGTTTCAACGTTCAGATTTCCAGTGGTGTCACATGTTTATGCTTCTGTTGTGTTTTTTTTTTACCATTTATTTGTTAAAGATCCAAATAAGTTTATCACATTACAATTGATCACTATGTCTTTTTCCCAGCTTTATTGAGATATAATTGACATATAACATTGTGTAAGTTTAAGGTGTACAATGTGATGTGAGCAATACATTTTTTTTGGTTTTGGTTTTGGTTTTTTTTTTGCGGTACACGGGCCTCTCACTGTTGTGGCCTCTCCCGTTGCGGAGCACAGGCTCCGGATGCGCAGGCTCGGCGGCCATGGCTCACGGGCCCAGCCGCTCCACGGCATGTGGGATCTTCCCGGACCGGGGCACGAACCCGTGTTCCCTGCATCGGCAGGCGGACTCTCAACCACTGCGCCACCAGGGAAGCCCAATACATTTTTTTAAGCTCTATTTTTTTTTTTATTGAAGTATAACTGCTTTACAATGTTATGTTAGTTTCTGCTGTACAATGAAGTGAATCAGCTATATGTATACCTATATCCACTCTCTCGGACCTCCCTCCCACCCATCCCACACATCTACGTCATCACAGAGCACCAAGCTGAGTTCCCTGTGCTATACAACAGGTTCCTACTAGCTATCTAGTTTACACATGGTAGTGTATATATGTCTATCCTAATCTCCCAATTCATCCCACCCTCCCCTTCCCCCCTGTGTCCACATGTCCGTTCTCTATGTCTGCATCTCTATTCCTGCCCTGCAAATAGGATCATCTGTACCATTTTTCTAAATTCCACATATATGCGTTAATATACGATATTTGTTTTTCTCTTTCTGACTTACTTCACTCTGTATGACAGACTCTAGGTCCATCCACATCTCTACAAATGACCCAATTTCATTCCTCTTTATGGCTGAGTAATACTCTTGGTGGGAATGTAAATTGATACAGCCACTATAGAGAATAGTATGGAGGTTCCCTAAAAAACTAAAAATAGAACTACCATATGACCCAGCACTCCGACTACTGGGCATATATCCTGAGAAAACTATAATTCAAAAAGATACATGCACCCCAATGTTCTTTGCAGCATTATTTACAATAGCCAGGACATGGAAGCAACCTAAATGTCCTCGATACATCTTTTAAGTCTCTTTTAATCCAAAGGTTTATCCTCCAACTCTTTTTTTTTAATCCTACAAATTGTTGTTTATTGTTTTCCACAGTTTGGATTTTCTGATTACATCCCTCAGATGTAGTTTCACTTGTTGCTCTCTTCTCTGTATATGTTGTAAACTGGTTGTTGGATCTGAAAACTGGATCACTTTCTGGTTTGATTATTCTTCCATCAGCAAGTACCACAATGACTGGTTGCCTTTTTGTGATACTAGCACACTTTTCTGTTTATGAACTGTTTTTATTCACAACACTTCTGACACCAAATGTGTGGGTTTTCTAGACGAAGCAATTTTCCAATTCCCTATGGACACCAACTGGGTGTCCTACAAGTCAATTCAATTCTAACACTAACTACTAGGAGTTAACTCAGACACCGCAGGTTAAAGGCTCGGATTCACAAGGCTGCCCCCACTTCAGTCTTCAGTCACAAGTCTCGGGCCTCTGGTACTTCAGACCAACCAGCTATAAATCGGGAGTACCATCCCCCCCAGCACCTCAATGTGTTCACCAACCCAGAAGCTCTCCAAACCCTATCAGTTAGAGGGTTTTGTGGAGATTCCATTACATGGGCATGATTCATTAAATGGGAATGCTGATTGATCCATTTCTAGTCCCTCTTCCCTCCTCAGAGGTTGGGGAGGTAGGGCTGAAAGTTCAACCCTATAATCACATGACCAGTTCCTCTGGCAACCAGCCCCCTTCAGATGCAATCTAGGGGCCCATCAAGAGTCATCTAATTAGCATAAACTCAGGTATGGTTGGAAAGGGGCTAATTACAAATAACAAATTATGCTCCTCTCAGCTCTATTACTCAGGAAATTCCAAAGGTTTTAGAAGTTCGTTTGTCAGTAACCAGGATGACAATATGTATTTATTATATCACAATATTCAGTTCCTAGGTCACTAGATTATTAGAGTTTATAATTTGGTTATATTGTATCATTCCTTCATCATTTATTATTGGAATACTTCCATAAAAAAGACATATTTGTTACTTAGTAATACAGTTCGTATTGAAAAGAGAATAAATGTTGATTTCCTTTTTTTTTTTAACTCATTTTCAAAATAATAAGTTGCTTCTCCAGAATTCTCCAATGGTGATCAATTTGTTGCTTTTCATTTTATTTATTTATTTATTTTTGGCTGCATTGGGTCTTCGATGCTGCGTATGGGCTTTCTCTAGTTGCAGAGAGTGGGGGCTACTCTTCATTGTGGTGCACAGGCTTCTAATTGCGGTGGCTTCTCTTGTTGTGGAGCACAGCCTGTAGGCATGCAGGCGTCTGTAGTTGTGGCATGCGGGCTCAGTAGTTGTGGTTCATGGGCTCTAGAGCGCAGGCTCAGTAGGTGTGGTGCACAGGCTTAGTTGCTCCACGGTATGTGGCATCTTCCCAGATCAGGGCTCGAACCCATGACCCGTGCATTGACAGGTGGATTCTCAACCACTGTGCCACCAGGGAAGTCCTGCTTTTCATTTCTTAATATTACAGACTCATGAGTTTAAACATATTCCATGTGTTTCAATCAACTTCTATTATTGTTCTACTGGTGCTCAATTTGTTTCATCTTTGGCCAGTGGGAGCTCTTCAGGTTGACTCCAGAGTCCTTCTGACACTCCCTTAGCTAGTCTTTGATAGCTTTCTTGCTATCAGATAAGATGTTTCAGACTCAACTTAAAAACCTCCCAATACGCTAGTTTCTCTTCAGATTGAATAAATCTTTTGCCTTTTACTAAAACAAACAAACAAAACTTTCTGCTCCATAGCTAGAATCAGCCATTCCCCCATGGAACCCTCGTTCCTTTTAGTAGGAAATGGTATCTGGATTCCACGATCTGAGAGCAATACCTATCAATTCCTTCATTTATCAAACATTTTCTGAGCAGTTAGTATGTGTCAGTCGTAGGATTTGGCTTTCAAGATACAAAGATATAACACAAACTCAAAGAGCTGACAAACCAGTGGCATATACTTAGAAAGAATAGATAATCAAGACATGTAGAACAAAGCAAATAAGCTCTAGGCAAAATAATCCATTTGAAATTTATCTGGTCAGGCAATACACTTTGATCTTTGTAGTACTCTTAGAGAGAAATAAGTAAGATTCACTGTGACATAACTAGGGAAAGACCCAAAGAACTATACCTATACTATACCTTGGCTAAGAAAGCAGAATTGAGTCATTCTCTAGATATATAAAGCACTGCTACTTATCAACGTCAATCAGAGCAGGGGAAAAGGAGATCAGACTTATCTTCAGGTATACAGAGTTACGCAAATGACTGAATGCCTTTCTCATAGAATGTTAAAATAAAGGTCCTTGCCAAACTAAGGAAATCTTTTCTTTCTAAGCATGCATGTACTTATCATCGGTGTGTTTCTTGCATTTAATACCACACTCTTTCAAAGATTAAAGTAAAATATTTCTCAAGCAAAAAATGTTTTGAAAATTGCAATTTTTCCATTCACTAATATTTTACTTCCAACTAGCAATTACTTACAAAGCAGCTTACCTTTTGTCTGTCTTATTAACTTTCCCTCTTCTCCATTTTCTACTTACATACCTCTCTCTGTTTCTTAAACTTGTTTCTTCCTGACTTTCTGCAAAACACAGCTTATTCAGGAACCCCACTCAAACCAATAAGAAAGGGATAGAAAAGGCAAAAAGAAATTGCTGCCTGTGTTAATTTTAAAAGGAAAATTCCTTTAAAACAGTATCTAACACTCTGTATTCTCAAAAATAAAAAATGTTAACTTGCTTGTAAATGTTACATGCTGTACATAAGTTACAAAAATAAAGCATTATAATGAAAAATAATAAAATCTCCCACCTTTCAGCACTAAATGCTGACTCCGTGTCAATGTACACAACGGCTCCTTCTAATCCTCCCATGTTGGTAGGTAATGTAGCCAAAATGCTCATCATTATACAAAACTGAGTTTTTCCACAACCTGGTGGACCTGTAATCTAAAATTTAAAAAAAAAATTGTTATTTGTATAAACATTACAATCTAATCAAAGCAAAATCCTTTTAAGAACTTGCTACATATACAGTCCAACTAACCTGGGTTCCCAGAGAGAACATTCTAATACGCCCCTTGTATGTAATAAATTAACTTCCCCCCTATCCATCTGAATTGGTACTAGTTATGCACCATCCCTGGGAGAAGTGAGAAAATAGTCACCCAGACCATCCTCTGTGTTCTGTAGTTCAGATGAAAAACTGGTTGAGAAAGCCTTGAGGATTCATTTATAAATTCACAACTTGGAGTTCTATACCTTTTCCTCATTAAGACATTTATAGAAAGATCTTGAAAATATTTAAGAGGCTTTAATAATTGGTTTAGCATTTTTTATAAATTGGCCTTTCAAAACAATTTTGTACTAGTACTAGTACATTTGTACTAGTCCCACTAAAAGGTACTTTGATCTTTATTCTTAAAAGTATTTAGGAGTAAAAGGTATTGATATATACAATTTAATTTCAAATGAATCAGAAAAAAAGTGTATGTGTCTGTGTGTGTGTGTGCGTGTGTCTGTGCAGAAGAGAGATAAAGCAAATAAAACAAAATTCAATAATTACTGAATCTAGGTGATTCATACTTTGAAGTGTATATTTTAAAATTTTAGTTGGTGGAAAGTTATTTTGAGATTATAAAATTCAAAAACAAGAGGATATAGATGGAAAAGAATAGGACGTTAATCACAGGCATATTTGAGTCCAACAGGAAGCAGTTAACAAAAATTAATTTGAAAATATTAAAAATATCCCCTTTAACACGCTATTTGTCATACTGGCTGTGGCATACAAATTTTAAGAACCAGAACACTATCCCTTTTGTGAGGATAACACTAATGAACAATTTTTCACAATAGGAAGAAGGGAAAAGAAGAGGAGGAAAGAAGAGAAGAAAATCTCAGGTAGAGATGAACAGAAGTCCAAGCTAAGACTGAGACACACGAGATCTGAAGAAACTGTCTCAGATATACTATGAAGCAGGAAGAAATAAGAAGGGATGACCCAGGAGTCTAAATCATGGAGGCCAATGGTTCTCAAACATGAGTGAACATTAGAATCACCTGGCAAGCTCATTGACCAGCATTTCTGGTTAACAATAGGTCTGAAATAGGGCCTGAAAATTTACGTTTCTAGTAAGTTGACACTGATGCTGCTCTACATTTGAGAACTACTGTTTTTGGAATTTAGAGTAAGGGTAAACTTCATTTATCAAAGCTTAACATTAAAAAAAAAACAAAGGCTCACAAGCTAGAAACCATGTGCTGATTTATAATCTCTAAAACAATGATATAGATTTTTAGGATAAATAATTGCTGCTAGCAATAACAGTGTGCCAGATCATGAGTGATCAGTGAGAACTCCAAAGTTCTTTGATTACATACTCCAACAAACAAACCAAAAAAAAAATAAAAATTTTAGTATGAACCTCCAATATATGCATATGTATTATATATATACTATTTTACTAATACATTCTATGCAGTATAAAACCACATGAAATAGGGATTAAAAAATAAAGATTACAAGCATTTAAAAATAGTTTCGTATCTTGTTTTAATTCTAAAATACAATACAAATCAATAGTTTCATAACATATATTAGTTGTATAGATCTTTTCACTCTCATAAAAACTTATTAGCACTTTTAGTGGAGCAAAGATAATAATGAAAATAAATGAAATTATGTATGCTGTTTTTTAAATATTGATTTAAATATTTTGTAATTCAGTAACTGAAATGTCAGTTCCTAAGTTTTGCTTATTTCAGTGCTTAATTGCAATGGCTCTACAGTTGAGAAGGTGATAATTGCAAAACTGCAAGGATTGAAATTAAAGAAATACATGATTTGTTGTACTTAGGAAATCATTATTTTTTAATATCTTTTCCAATTATCAAGTTTTTGTTGAACTCTGGCTAATAAATTTCCATCTTCCCTCATATCAACTAATTATTCTTTTTTTTTTTTTAAACAGAGAACAGGAGTATTTATTTATTTATTTAGGGCTGTGTTGGGTCTTCGTTTCTGTGTGAGGACTTTCTCTAGTTGTGGCAAGCGGAGGCCACTCTTCATCGCGGTGCACGGGCCTCTCACTATCGCGGCCTCTCTTGTTGCGGAGCACAGGCTCCAGACGTGCAGGCTCAGTAGTTGTGGTTCACGGGCCTAGTTGCTCTGCAGCATGTGGGATCTTCCCAGACCAGGGCTCGAACCCGTGTCCCCTGCATTAGCAGGCAGATTCTCAACCACTGTGCCACCAGGGAAGCCCCTCAACTAATTATTCTTGTAAACTAATCAAAATATATTGACTTTTAACACTTTTAATAATTGGTTTCACAATCAAAGGAAACTATTTGGAAGATTTCTTAACAGTATAGAAAATATTGTTAAAGTTTTTTAAAGTGTGCAGATAGTAAAGTTTTCACAAGATACACACCTTTGATGACAAAAATCACATGATAAAAGAAACATTTCCAAGCAATGATTTGAAAAACACTCTGTATTTTGATCTCTGTCTTTTAAGAAGCAGTTACTTTCGCACTCATTGTAAAAATATCCTTTACTTTGAAGGGATGGAGTAAGAGTGTTCCATTGGTTGCTTGCTTGCTTGATTTTCAATCTGCTAGGTGGCATATTATATAGCCACTTGTTATACAAAGAGTGTCAGCAAATTTGACATATCTTGTCCTTTCATTTTAAAAAAGTTTCACTCAAAAATAAAAGTTTCACCCATCTTTAAATTCAACAGTCTTTTACAATCTTTGCTGTGAGATAACCAAAGAAGCTCTTGTGATTCAAATTCATGGTCACTCTTCCTCTCATTACAGACTATACTACAAAGAGTCAATACTTTACCAGTCAGGTTCTTATAAAAATTGTACCATCCTGAAGCACTCTTCACACATCTGACATCAACTTCTGTGTTGCTATAGACTGCCTAAGGATGATGTAACCGAAAAATTCAGAGTTTTACAGAGAACATTCGTATACCCACCACCTACACTCTGCAACTGCCATTTTATTGTTACTATACTATATAGTACAGTATACTACTACACTATACTATCCATCAATCCATCCTTCTATCCATTCATCAATCCATCTTAGATGTTTTTAAATGCATTTCAAAGTAAGTCAAAGACATAAATATACTTTCCCCTAACAGTTCAGTGTGTATATAATTAACCTGAGTTTAATGTGTATTTTTTTTTTTCCTTTTAAGGTAAATTTTACACACAATGAAATGCCCAAATCTTGAGTGTATCATTTGATGAGTTCCAGCAAATGTATATACATATGCAATCTAAACCCCTGTCAAAATCAGAACATTAACATTACTACCAGGAAATTCCCTCATAAACATTGCTTTATATTCAAGAAGTCATTTATTTTTGAGAATATATCTTCCTTGACACATCTTTACTTTTGTGGCCCAAAAATAATTTAGTTCATGTATTTCATTACTGAAACAGAATCTAGCTTATTAATACGATAATCTGGGCCCTGTTAGAAACTTCTGTACTTTTATTATATACCATCTTTCCACAATGAATAACTTGTTTTAATTCTTGATGCTTATCAGCAGCAATGATTTCCATCTGAAAGTATTTATTCACAAAAGAATCCACTTAAGTTGTTGCCATGTTGTTTCCTATGTCTTATTTCATCCACTTTACTGTAACAGGACAGGAAGAACAAGAGTGTCCCTGACAGTATTAACAATGTATTGCATTTGGCCTTTTGCTCTTAAGAAAACCCAAGAGAGGCTTTTATCATTAATTCTATCATTAATTTTATATGATAAAATTTTATATGATAAAATTATATGATAAAATATATGATATTTTCATAAAATTATATGATAATTTCTATCATTAATTTTAGTGAAATTTTTCTAGATATTGAATATATATCACATGACTTTAAAAGTCACTGAAAAACCTGTGGAGGTTCGTCTTCCTGTGATGTGTTTCTTAACTATGATGGCTTCCTACTATCATTTGCCAGTATTTCAAGGAACAAAATAACAGAGGAAGTTTCACTGTTAACAATAATGGATACAATTCCATATATCAAACTGTTTTCTTTATAATTTCAAATTTTTTGGATGTCTTCACAGATGAGATTAGACTGTCATTGATTTTTACTTCATTAATTGTAGGAGAGTCATCAGCTCTGACTTTTATGTACACGTGGTCCACTTCTGCTCACATTATTAGTATTGCCTTCAACCCATAGTTTCTTTGCAGGAATCTTTTTATGCCATTTGTCTGCTTTGTGAGGTATGATTTAGTTAAATCAATAAATCCACTAACTAGGTACATGCAGAACTATAATTCATCCCAATATGTTGAAAATAAAGATACAATCAAGGTGCCCCTGTCAACCTTCTGTATCCTTTCCTCATGGACTATACCTGACACATGACAGTCGAACATACAGACCAAGTAAGGATGCCAGTGTCAATCCACTTATTAAATATCAATAAAGGTTTATTTCATGTTTTAAACTGAAATACCAATAAAAGTTCTAATATCTTTTTCCCACAACCCAATGGACCATCTTACATACTGTCCTTTGGAGACTGGTAGTTTTGAAGAGCCCAAAACACTTTTCATGGACCTTTTATCATCATCAAGGTCAACATGGATAAAATTAATCACCAGACATCAGAGCAAAGGAAACTTCTATCAATAATAGTTGAAAGGGGATCTTGAAAATGAGAAATGATGACTCTTCAGAGTGCTAACTAATGGAGGAACAAAGGACTTCCTTTCTATACATAGTACCTACATGCCCGGTTTTAGATATGTTCTAAGATTTAATGAGCTTAAACCCATGAAATGCTTTGTGATTTTTAGTGGAAAGGTGAAACAAGCCCTCAATTTAAAAACATTTTTTAAGATGTTATATATGAATATATTCAGTAAAGTATCAAATACCATGATACTGT